CCTGATTCTCTGTAACTGTCGAAACATTACATCCCAATACAAGAGAAAAACTCCCAGACTGATCTTTTGTCATTTCTTCACATGAAAACTCATAGTTACAGCCAAGTGGCTCCCTTTTTTCTCATTAATCAGATCATTATTATCAGAATCCACATTTTAAATACTTGGCTTTTTTCTGTTTAAATGTACCCTTTTTTCCGCCCCCCGGGGGATATGGAGTTTTTATTATCCTATCACTTCTGACCCTAACTGCCCCTATCTCTCTAATCCTATTTATCTAAACTCTTGTGCCTCTTTTGCACCTTAAAACGGTGTGCCTCTTTTGCACTTCTAAATCCTGTGGCTCTTTTCATCATCTGTTCTGTTTTCTTTGGAGGGACCCATGCTTCCCCCAAGGTTAAAACGTCTAAACCTGACTATTGTTCTATCGCGTCCGATAGAACGCCCCGTCACGGCGGTCTCGTCTGGCCACGCTGCAATCTGTCGAGCCAAAATCTCTCTCTCTTCTATTTAAAACAATGTGCAGATTTCCAAAACTGTGATCCGCTTACCTTAGAAGCGACCTTTTTGAAGAGCAGAGAGATTTTTCCAAACCCACAAATCCAGTCTCTATAACTGAGCTCATCTCTGTCCCGCTCCTGCCCCGATCACGTCGGGGTCACCAAAATGAAGTCAATAATTCCCTTTGACTGACGGTATCCAAAGTCGATGCAAGAGCGAGACAAGAGATCTTCACGTTTAACATCTGCATTTAATTATCTTTACAATCAGATACAGAATGTTCAACAAAAGTGCTCCTATTCTAGGCCTGCTCTTCCCCTGTCCGTGCCCTGTCCTGTCTGACCTCAAAAAAAACACACACAGGGGCTCATGAGGGAGACTTCCGATGACGTCATCCTTATGCGTCCAAGGGGTGGAGTTTCCGGGTGTGCTGACGTCCCTTGTCCACTGGGAGGCGTCAGAATGCAGTTGGTGAATCTCCCAGTCTGCCTCAAGATTCAGGTTCTGAACTCTTGTCCTCGTCAAAATGTTTATTATTTAAAGTTAATAATTCGCCCTGTTTAAACAGCATTTTATCTTTATGACTCATGTCTGATTATCCTGTGTCCTTGGGGTTTTTCCTGAGTGCACAGAGGTCTTTCTGGCTATGATGTTCAAATGGTCAAATATTAAAATATACAACAAGATTCAGTTAAAGATTATTACGTCTCCTCTCACACCACTTTTGCTTGGGCATCCCTGGTTGAGTCTACACAACCCTTCCATTAACTGGTCTCAGGGTAGCTCCGCTGTAGTCTCAGTTCACGATAGCATTCTGAGACTCCCAGATTCCCTGATCTGTCTAATGTCTCTGAATGCTATCATGATTTGGTGGAGGTGTTTACCAAAAGACAAAAGACCAGACTACCGCCTCATCGTAGGGAGGCAGTAGGGACTCAAATTAAACATATAATACTCAAATTAAACATATAATAATTATGCTATTCTGCCAATAAAAAAAAAAAACCTTCATAACTAAATTCAAACCTGCAGCCTTTCACACCAGAGTCGAACGCTAACCACATGCGCCACGCTCCAACACTGCGTAAGACAACGTAGTTGTGCTTAATTGTTTGTATTTAATCCAAGTCATTACAGATAATCCGTTTTACACGTCATTTGTTGACCATGTGACATTTTTTATAAAGTGTTTTGCCCAAGGACTCAACAGCAGCAATTATCGACTGTAGTCTTTAGAGTATTTCTCAATGGAGATTCAAACCTACCTTTGGGCCAAAAGACCAATGCTCTTCCATCCGTGCCACTGCTTCACCTAATTGCTACCTGCTGCATGTTGTATCTTACACTGTATTTGTTTCCCAAATGCCGTTTTACTCGCCGTTTGTTGCCCACATGCCGCTTTAAACGTACCATTCAGTACTGTCGCTGATCGCAATACTGAAGTGTGAGGGGAGGGGCGTGTGATGCCGGGAGCTGTGTTGTATGGTAGCCCGAAAGGGACAAACTACCTGCTGCTACACCTGAACACTATTTGAGCAGTTTAACTTTAAAACTGCCGAAATAGTGTTCAGGGCAGGTCTCAAATACCTTCCTCAAGTCTTGCAGCTTTTGTTCTAACGGTGGGTTGGACTGGTGCCTATATAACAAATCTACTATTGCTAAAAAATAAAAAAAAAATAAAAGTGACAACATCTATGTGTGAACTCATACGTGTTATGCGAGCTCCCCACCTTTGCGGTCGACGGGTAGATTGGTGAGCATCCCTGATCTAGGGTCTTCCTAAAGCCAACACCAGAGCAAGTTTGCTTCTCACCAGATATGCTTTACTATTCAATCGTTGTTGAACGACGACTTGACTTTGGTGTACATAAACACACACGTGTTATGTGAGTTTCCCTTGGTGGAGATGCTCTGCACAGAAAGCCCCCTACTCTCATGTCAAATTCCAATGTGTGCTGCCCGCATAATAGAAAACTAAATTGTAAATGCTGATGTTCATCTCCATCTGGAATCTTCAAAATAAAGAGACATTTGCTGATTAAAAACAGCAGAAGATTGTGGAGGCTAGATCTTGTGCTTTGAGTGCTCTGATGCACCACAGGGACTATATCTAAGCACTCTGCAAGAGAGGCATTGATTTGATGCTTTCAAATCCCTCATCCTAATTAAACAGAAAGTTTTATGGAGATCAGAGAGTAAGGATTGTAGAAGTTTGTAAGGTAGCAGATTCATAGGGGTAAATGGCAAAAATGTCAAAACGCTGCAGTGTCAAATCATCACCAGAATTGCAGATTGAAATAATCAAACGAAATATTTTATTTGTTTATAAAGCGCATGTTATCTGGAAGCCTCATGTTGGCAGCATGAGGCTCGGGGCTAGTAAGTAAAGTGACAGTGGTCACATGAACTTTCTTAAAAACATATTTCACATTCTGACAAAACATATAGTGTACATTCTGACTTAAAGAAGCTATACCCAATTTAATTTCTAATAAGTTCATAAAAATGCGTATTACTACAAACAAGTTATATTAAAATCCGTAATTTAATTGAAAACTTGAGCTCTTTGTTTCAGCTTTTGTATGAATTCAGGCCGTAAAAAGTGCTGAGTAGAAACTTAGCGTGACGCTAGATCTCCTCCACTCACAGAACGAGGAGCGGCGCTGTTACGAACAGGCTGTGTAATTAATTTCTTATTTGAAGGAACATTGTGAGTACAGAATCCAATTACTGAAAAATAAAAACTTCTAAAATTCTATCCATTATGGCCCTGTCCACACGAAGTCAAGCTCAGGCCTAAACGCAAAAATACTTTATCAATCCAGTGTATCGTCCATACGAGGCCGGCGTTTTGGGGGGGTGTAAACGAACATTTTTGAAACTAGGTCCCAGAGTGGAAAGATTTCAAAACTCCGTATATGCCGCTCCGTGGTTACTGCCTCTCCGCAATGTATCTGAGACGCTTGCGTCATCGCCCCGCCTCTTGTTAAAGCACGCATGCGCCGCACTCAGAAAATAATGACAACAACAATGTAGCTTGTTGGTTTTGTAATCCAGTGCGACCCGAAGCAACAGTTCAACCTCATCGTCCGTCCATACTAATGTAGTACCAGCTCGCCCACTCGCCATGTTGTCTGTTTACAAAATTCTGCGCATGCCCAGTTCCCGTCACGGAAGTTTGGGCTTGATCCCGTCATTGCGTCACAGCGCCACCAACAGGTCTGGCATAGTTTCACAGCGTTTTCAGGCGTATTGACTACATTCAAATGGACGCACACATTTACTGAGCTAACTCCGTGTTTAGAGAAAAAGTTTCTGAAATTATAAGCGTTTTGTCTTCGTGTGGATATAGCCTAAAAGTGCAAATGTGCACAGCTCAATTTTGTGGGCAAACATTAACAATGTCTCAGTGTTCATGGCAACAAGTAATTATAAGCTCCAAATTGGAACTGAGCAAGATACAACTATCAACGATGAAACTGACACATTTGCTGTCGTCAGTGAGCTTATGAGTAAAGTGTTTGCAATTTCTGCTTCAAGAAGCAGCAATGGAAACTCTGGGTTGACAAAAAAGTATTATCAGATAGACTCAAGTCAACATCATTAACCTTACATCAGCCTGTGTCAGACCAGTTCAAGTTAGATGACATAATGACGTTTATTAACAATGTTTGACAGTCATCTCAGAGTCCTCCTGAAAAATGGTCAGAGAAGGAACTAGAAGCGGTTTAGCCCCATAATTGTTCAGATCCCCATGCATTTTTTTCCGCTTGGAAAAAAATAAGCAACAAATTCATAAAGAATAGCCCTTTCTTGAAGCCTATACTTCCCAATCTGACTAGTCTGTGCTGTCTTCACACATGCTCTGTCTTCATTATGTTTGACTGGTCTAGCTGAGGCCAGATTGAAAAGGACTCCGGGGTGACACCCAAAATGTCTCATTCTTAAAAAAAACCTGTTCAAATGACTAACGTTGACATTTTTTCTCCAATGAAGCTACCGTCCTTGAGGAACTACAGATGGGCATGTTGATCGTTTTAAGCCCCTCATCCCAGCACTGCCCTCCCATTACCAAAACTGCCCTGACTGATAAAAGGGGATACATCAGAAGGAAACAAAACATATGGGTCAAAACAGGAAAAACTAAAAAGGAAAAAAGCCACATTTCCCATAACAATCTCTCCCTGGATCACACTGCCAAGGCATTGCATTACTGTATTTAATGTACACACTCAAATGGGATTTTTGCTAGACGTTATAATTTTTCCATTGTAAAGGTACCAATGGAAAATGGATTTTGACCATAATGGCTTCAAATTGGCTTCAAATTTGCGACGTGAGCCTATAGAAGAGTCAGCTGAGATAGGCCTTTTATCATAGCTGGGAGATACAATACGACAACTCGAAGCAGTAACAAACACATACCGACATGTAATTCTATTAAAATCACCTTGGGAACAAAAATCCCTGGTTCTGCTGTGGGATTGCGTTCCCTTTTTTCACATGTCATCAGCGTGAGGTCGTAGCCGGGCGGGGCGTTGTGGGTCCAGAGTCACAGTGGCTATGTGGCCGGTGATAGGGTCCACATGGAAATGAGCCACGTTTTCCTCCTCGGTGCCGTTCGGGGAGAAGGACTCTGGATCGTGCTCAAAGTTTTGCATGTTTAGATTTTTCATCAGGAAGTTGACATGGTCTATGGCCTCATCTCCAGGGAAACGTCGATGAGGGAGATCATCCTGGGCTTCATCTTCAGTGGTGTATTGAGGGTTAATGGCATGCAGGACACGAGACGCCTGCAGATTCTGGAGGGATCGTGACTGGACTGTGACAGATGATCAGAAAGAGAATGTCAGTGTTTGTAAATGACAAAGGATTTACCATAATAGCCGTTTATGAAATATGTTATGTTAATTCCTAGACAGAAGACATTGGCACTATGACGATGACATACAGTAGATAACACATTTTGTATCAGGTAAATTAAAGCTGCACTAACTGACTTTATTTTTGTATTCATTACGAAAATGCTATCCATGTCCATGTAGTGCATCGGGATATACGTCCTTTTGAAGAAAAAGTAGCGCATGTTTGTGCTGGCGTGACATTATATTTTAGTTCGAGTTTTGATGAAACAAGGAAGAGAATGTGTTTCGGGTCGCAGATTGTGACCAATCACAGCGCACCACTAGCCCCCACTTTTGTGAGAAATCTACAGGTCCGTTAGCACAGACAGCTGAGTTAGCACAACAAGCCGAGGAGCTAACCTGAAGCTTTGTGTCTTCGTCACTGGTTACTGCTTACACAGCGAGACAGCCATCCAAAAGAAAGTCTCGTTCCTCCGCGCTTCCCAGTTCTATCATTCTATGGTCACGCCATCCACGTGAAAATCCATATGCATTTATTTATCCATATTGGGAGACGCTAGCTCCGTCAACAACAGTGGGTGTGTGTGGGGCGCGATAGCTTCGTGGGTGCGGGGAGGGGAGCAGAAAGAGCGAGGCCAGCGAGTCCGCGGCTTCAAAATCCCAAAGTCAGTTAGTGCAGCTTTAAATTACTTTAGTAAATACAAGAATTTTCATTTCTCAATACCGTTTTTGTGCTTTGAACAATTTTGGTACCAATAATGGCAAAATATCCTTCTCAGTTGAATGTTCAGAAATCAACTAATTTATCCTACTCAAAAACGTCTTAGACACTGTGGTTACAAATAGGCTTTGGACAAGAACACTGTAATGAAAATATGTAACAAACTGTGGAGACATGTGGAGGCAAGTTGAAAAGCTGGGTGAAGGGTATTCGCTGTGGCCGAATAAACATGACAGGAAGAAGTCTTACAGCGACTCAGGGTGTCCAGATTAGCGTTGCAGGTGGGTGCACGGAGCAGCCCGATCAAGGTTACATGGCTTACCTCTGACTGAACTGAAGTCTCCTTGGTTCACATCAGTGCTGGAAAAAGGCTTGAGGCTGGGGAACAGGATGAGTGAGAAGGACAACAAGAAAACCTAAAAAGAAAGAAAACTTTGTTAATGCAAAGTGGCTCACAGAGATGAGAGTAACATGAATCATTTGGGATTCTTGAGCAACAGGGTTTTATGAACTTTTTTCACACCCAAATGTCTTGCATTTTTGTAACCTTCCTTTTCTGGATTGTGTTACGCAATGTACAGTATATTATCATATGCATTTATTTTATTATACGCTTCGAAAAGGCATTTTAAAAGAGTCCTTTATTGATGGATGTATATTGCTTTATAAATACAGAAGCATCTTTAGTCTGTAGATGAAAAGGTGTGTTGGTAGTCCTGGAGACCTCTATAATAAATCCTTTAAAATGCATATGGCAGAGTTCTCAGGTATCGTTGGAAATATTGAAACATTTACTTGCGGAGCCAATTATTTGTTACGCAAGAACAAGGTTAAGTTTAAGTTGAATTTTCAGGACATGTCAGTCAGAGCTCAGTGTGACTTCTGGCTTGTTGTAAGTAAGTAATCTTTATTTATATACCGCCTTTTCACTACAGATCTGAGTCTCAAAGCGGTTGTTTTCTTGAAACTTTAATATCAGAAAGCTTGTCTAGCAAATATATGATATTACTTGGGGGAAAAGATGACAAACACTTTAAATGCAAATTATGGGGTAAAAGTTTAAATGTTTGAACTGACACATGTTTTTGTTGTGCGACTAGTAACTCGCACAACAAAGGCGACTGCCTTCCTCATTGGAAGGCAGTCGCCTTCGACTGCTGCCCAGTCCTCTCAGCACGGTGGGTGGGTGGTGGGGCCCACAGGAGGGCCTGCCCACCTTATCCCTTTGGGCTGAGCCCGCCCGGCCCCGGGGGTAAAGCCGGGCCACTAGGCACTCGCTTTCGAGCCCCAACCCCGGGCCTTTCTCCAGGGCTGTAACATCACTGTTATTGTATTAGTGCGATCCATGGTGGTATTTGGACTGCGCTTCGTCTGACTCGTCACCTGAGACCTGTTTGCCATGGGGGACTGTACCAGGGGCATGAAGCCCCAGACAACATAGCTCACAGGATACTCCGAGTACTCAAACTCCCCCACCACGTTAAGGAGGCAGTCAAGGGGAGGAGTTTTTCTCAACTATGCATTGTTAAATCCCAATATAACTAAGGATAATGATGAAGAGAGATTTTGTATACCGTCCACACACGGAAGCATCTTACCAGAACACATGTGCCTGTTTGGGCTGGTCTGTTTGATGTATTCATGACCAAAGCCTGCAGTCTGCGCAGCTGCTGCATCAGTGACCTGTGAAAAGGACAGGCAGGTGGAAGAGGTGTACAGACTGTACTGTGACACAGAATTATGATAATAAAGGAGCATTATGCAAACTTCGTAAACATCTATTTATGCATATTTGACATTGTAGTGAGATATTTGTATATAGCAGTTTTCTCTGCTATGGGACCTGCACCAAAAAACCTACAAAACTCTCAGGCGCACGGCAATACACAAAAATGACCATTTTGGTTTTTTTGATTGCTTGTATATTATAAGAACAGAGAACGTCTGAGATCTTAGTCCGGTGCGAATGCTCCATGTCTGTATTTTGTAAAGTAATAATTCCGTCACAAATTACCTCCTTTTTTTGTCCAAACACAGACGTCCTGTGATAACACTAATCCCGTGCGAATCTGCTTGTCAGTGATTGTGATTGCTATTGCCGCTTTCTCTACTTTCTGCGTTGTTTTTTTGTCTATGAGAATCCAGAGTATGTGATGCGTTCACTAGTCCGTAGAAACAGTATTAAACATTACAAACAGTGCGGGCCATAGAACTGTAGAGCAGTAATATCCGCATGTAAGTGTTTGTCCTCATGGTCTCTGTGGCTGCTGTGGTCGGACGCCAGTCTCTACGGGCTGCGTGAAGCGGAGAGACTCGCGCACGTGCGGCCGTTAAGTGAGATGTCAGAGAAAATATAGTAATTTACAGACATTGCTTATCCCGTGTGAATGCACTGCAAGATCTCAGACGTCCTTCGTGATTATCACAAATTACCAGGGGTCCACAAGTAAAGTAAGTAATGTTCAGGGCATCAAAAAACTCTCTGCCTCCAAATGTTCAGAATTAATTTTGTGACAGAGACGCGCATCATAGTCATAGACTAAGAGGAAATAAAAATGTATACTTGCCTAAATTTAGGACCACTTTAAAGTCAATGTGTGTCTCAGTGCGAGGAGTTTCTCTATGGAATACCTTAAAGGATGAACTTAAAAATAGTACAAATCTGACTCAATTTAAAGCTTTGTTTAAAAAATATGTACTAAAGAAATACAAGGAGGAAAGAGAGTGATGCCCTCAGCACAGAGCGAGTGATGGCAGAGAGGGGTGGGGTCAGAGTGTTCGGGCCTGTGTGTGTGCGTCTGTGTGTGTGTGTGGGTGTGTGTGTGTGAATGTGCGTGTATGCGCATGGGTTGTTTTTTGTTGTTTTTTTTTCTATATATATATATACATTTTTTGTTGTATACCATTGGTGGTACTATCGTATTGAAATTCTTGGCAAAATGTACAGTAGTATTCTTGTATACCATTGGTGGTAGTGTTGTATTGACAGTAGTACTTTGTAATGCGATTTTTTGATTATTTTGACGGGTGTTGTGTGGGTGAGAGGGTTGGGCTAAAATAAGCATAGTGCTTCATCCAACCCCTTTTCAAACCTTGAACATATGTGTCTGAACATTTGTCAAATGTGTCTTCTGTGCAGGTTTTGAAATAAAGAAATAAAAAAATAAAAATACTAATCCTGTGCGACTAATCTAATCTCGGACTCAGAGGCGCCATAGATAGACTCTTTTTTTTATTCCATTCTATAAATGAGAGGGAGAATTGAGCACTGTCGGCAGATCTATCCGGGACCTGCCACGCGGTTGCACGTTGTATATCCTGTATATGTATACATTTACTGAGATAATAAACCACACTTTGATTTGAATTACAGCTCTTGTTGTTTATTTTATATTTAATATTGTGTATTTCACTCCTCAGTAATTCCACAACAGGTTAATTATTGCATTTTCTAGTCCCCAAATTCGGTTTTGAAAACATAAATGTCTTATAAGCAATGAAAAAACCAAAATGGCCATTTTTGTGTATTGTCGTGTGCCTGAAAGTGGAAAAAAGCCATTTTCCATTTTCCTTCAAAAATAGAAAATGTATTGTATACAAAATTACATCGACCCATGATGCCCACATATTCCACACCTGGAACGATCAATTGGAATGTGGAAATAGAACAAAAAAATCACATTAAAAAATGCACAAAGTTAAAAATATTTGAATGTAGGTTAATTGGAGAAAATTGCTGCTTACATGTTGCATTTTTCAAGTTGGGAAACTTTTCGCTGCAGCTCTTGGTTGTGTGCATTGCAGGCAGCCATTCTGGTAAAACAATAAAGACAATAATTAAAATATGCGGTTTCAATTATTTGAGTTTAAGTTTAATATTTAAGTAGTTAAAAGGACAAATGAATCAATTAATGGGGATGGGGGTTATGAGACCATTCACTGTGATACCGTATAATTTTGAGTAACGGCATTTATCTGAAATACCACAATAGCATTTGTGTGAATGCCACTGTGATGTTTACCTTTGGTCTGAGCGTGTGGAGAAACAGCAGCTGCGATCACAGCTGTGGCAGAGGACCTCAACAACAGTCTTTTCTCAAGTTGCGCAAAATGTGTAGATGGTAACTAAAGTATTAACGTGTAGTGGGGCGGCTGTGGCCTAGAATGAGTCCGGTGTGTGTTTGATACTGGTAGCCTTGCTTCTGTCATTGTGCCCCAGGGCAGCTGTGGCTACAGTAGTTTATCACCACTGTGTATGGAGTGAATAAATAATGACATTATTCAATCTTTTTTAAAATATTGTCACCATTTATATACTTTAGAAAATGATTTGACCATAATTGATATGTATTGAGAAAACTTCCTCTGATATGTCAGGGTCCGTGAAGTCCCATGCTCTACTGAGCACAAGCCATTCATATGAATAGGGCGCCTTCTTGGATCACCGGGGCTTTACTAAAGTCTGCATCCTCCGTGGCCGCTAACAACAACACGGCGAATGGCGCCGCGGAAACGTGGTCATATCCAAGACCATACACGCTCAGAACTATTCTCTGCATGTCTTTGCATAACCTGTGCGTAACCTGTGCACGCAAATACACCGCTGAAGCTAAACTATGGAGCCTCAGGCAGTGTCTGTGTCTCCTCCTGAAACACAAATAAACTCGCTAAATTAAAGCTGGGGTATGTACATTTTCCCCTTTCATTTACAGCTCATGTTGATGGGCCCAAAAAGTAAAAGGCTGTGAGCAAATCAAACAGATTTAAGTACATTCGGTAAGAATGACAATGTGTCAATACATTTGATAATCTTATTTAACTTCAATTGGAGTGGATTTGAAATAGAATGCTAAGAATGCGATTAATCGTGAGTTAACTCACCATTACTATGCGATTAATCAACTAAACATTTTTAATCGTTTGACAGCCTTAGTAAAAACTAACTTCATACTTTGTATAACGTAACAACTTTATTCTCAGGCTGGAAAAAACACTGTTATTACAGTTCACACAGCTGCTGTTTAGAAATTCCTGCAGCTTGTCTTATTCATACTTCATAAGACATGAGAATGTTCCCACTTCTTAAGAAATATGAGTTGACCTTCAGAATAGTTGTCGGAATTTTGACAGTTTCCATAGTTACTAGAAAGGATTTTTTTTACCCACAATTTTTAAATATAGGCTGTTTGGAACATTGTGATGTCACATGAATGCAACCTATTGTATGCTGTGTGTAGTGAACTAATCATGTGCAGTAAGGAAAGAGTCTTATAAGGATGAAACAAAAATACACTATAAAACTCCTGCAGGAAGATAACATCTGAGGCATATTTGGAATTGTAGATGTGTGGTGGTTTGCCCGCTGCAGCGCACGGAGCCCATTGTCATTCCATACGTGTGATTTCTTCAGATGTACCATATTTATTGGCCGCTGGTGGCTGAGAGACATGTTGTATTTCCCATTCCCACAAATTATCAGTGAAGGAAATAATTTATTTCAAACACCATTTAAAATTCACCTTGAAAATTACATTACCATATTACCCTTAAGTTGTTTTGAAAGATCTGATGATATGAGATGTTCACCCGTTATAGCTGGCAGTTACTTTTATTTTTTTTACTTCCACTTCATACAGGGCCAGTAATGTGAGCAGAGACCTTTGGTCTACTGGGCCTTCTCCTGGTGTGGGACATCACAACTTTCCAGGGAAGCGTTGAGGAGACGTTATTGAACCATGCAAACTCACAAAAACCTGATCATTCGTAGTCCTGTCTGAAAGCACAGATCATGGTGTATTCACTCCACACTCGGTGGTAATGGAAGCCAGCTGCCAATCATTTTAAAATCCCTTCAGCATGATTTTAGCACAAATAAACAGTTAAGCAGAACGCAACGGGCTCTCTCTGGGGACATTTTAGCATTAGCCTCAATAGATGTACTATTAAACTAAACAACCCTCTGGTTAAATTAATTATGGGATTTTTACATCTCATCTTTCAGACCAAATTTAATCTCCTGGGGGTCAACATGTTGGTAAGAAATCAATAACAATCAATAATTATCCAATTTTTTTCACTGAGCAGCAGTATTCTGATTTTGGATCTCTTTGGATCTCTGAGCGCTGCTTTGTGCTTCTTTGTGTGCTTTTGGGGACTACACACATACAAAGGTGTGAGTTGGTTTACTCTCACCTGCTCTCAAGTCCATCTATGTACTCCTTTTTCTTCTTGCGGCTCTCCTGTGCTGACTGCTTATTACGTATTTTCCGGCGTACTTTCTTCAGTATTCTTTCCTCATACTAAAAACAAACATTCATTAGTTTACAGCTTTGCACAAGCTGCTTTAAGTGAGAGGCTTACCTTTGTGAGTGGCAGTTGGCTGGGCAGAGTCACCCCCTCCTTTGCCAACAACTTCCTCTCATCTTCATTGAGAACCAACTCCTGAATGGACTGTTGTGAGGGCAGTGAGGGCTGTTATTGGAATGTAAATTGAACCACATTAGTAAAAACATCATTGGAATATAATTTCATTCATCCACTTGTCACTTCAGACGCACTTCTGTGATGTGGCAATTCTCCTAACACCGTTCACAGATATTTCAATAATTACACAACCAGTCTACTCTCCATTCCCAATATTGGATGAAGAAGCAGAAATTGGATCAATATGACCTGTGTATTCATGTGCAAACAACCCCCACATAAGTAAAAGTTTGTTCTTCTTCTTTAACACTTCGATATGTAAGATTTGGGTTTCTTTGGACATTTTTACCCATGTTATCTGTTTTGAAATATATTCGAATCTCATCCTCTTCATGACACCCGTGCAGTCTACTCAAAACACCATCCCTCCCAGAGACATTAGACCTATTGTTATGCCAACCAAGAAACTTCATGGAATTCAGTCCATCCATGAACTTCCATGACTGCCCCTATAGTCGGGTGTGGATTTTTGGCCAGTGGTCAACATTGTGATTAATTGTATAGAACAGAAAATAAAATAAAATATGAAATCTTCTTCAAAAGGCAAGGATGTTAGATGTCCTGCAATATCACCATGACACTACAGAGTCATCTGCATAATATTTAAAAATACACATAACAAACTTCCACAGGCAGTGTACTCTTTAGATCGAATTAAGATTGGATGGCTATCTGGAAATAAATGAAAATATTGATATGAGAATCAAAATGATTATTTTTTGCTTTTGTAAGTATCAAGTCACAAACTAGGTATTTGCAATTAAGTTGTTAGTTGTAAAGAGAAAATGGGTAAAGGCACACATACAAATATTAATGAAATATAAGTGTAAAAATTACACACAGTAGACCATTAGCAGTGCAGTTAAAGTACCTGTAGCAGTATCCGATTGGGATCCAAAAGAAAAAGTTCATTACAAAGGCTTAATAGCTTTTAGGCTACATGAGCACCCCACACTTTTCATACATAATTTTCTTATGTAGCTTTCAGTTATTGATCCGTCATCTTTGAATTAATGCCTTTACAGTGGGGAAATTACAATCTCTTCTTCCTCTCAGCATTAGAGCTCCACCTTATGCATTATTTAATCATATAATTTAAACAGAAACTTAAGACAGGTTAAAGGAATGAGTTTCTAATGAACTTAAGCCAACTGCTAAGATGTCTGCGCCCCTCATTATATTCCAAGTGTTCTATTTTGATTTTCAAAGACCCTCAACCCAGAGTCAAGAGGCAGCCGCCTCCTGTGTTTGATGGAACCCCATTTCCTGAGTCAGAGGCTCTTGACACCTGCATTCTCCTCCTCTGCTGACGTGACGTGACACTCACCGAGTCAGCAGTGCCGGCCAGCAGCAGGTCCTTCACCGTCAGGGCGCTTCCTGAGGAGAGGCCTCCACAACCAGGATATGGTGTAGTCTGTGGATGACTATTCTGAAAACTCTGGTCCCAGCTATCTGCACCCAAGCATATACAATACATACATTTATTCAGCAATGCAGAGCACAGGTGAATCTAGGCAAATTTGAATATTGTATAAAAATATACATTTTACTTAATTCAAAAGTTGAAATTTAAGTAATTCAACTTACTATTAAACTATGTTTTCTCAGGCCGGCAGATCAGACTCTGCTCTGGGTTCTGGGAGGAGATTGAGCTTTTTCGGTTGTTGGTCCTAAATGATGGAATGAGCTGCCCCTGTGTGTTAAACTATCTGATTCACTTCCTGTTTTTAAGTCTCATCTTAAGACTCACTTGTTCCCATTGGCTTTTAATTGATTTTGAAATGTTTGTTGTTGCTGTAAAAAGTATGTTTTTGCCACTTCTTTGTATTTTCTATTTGTATATTTTTGTATGTCTTTTCATGTACAGCACTTTGGTCAACCTTGTTGTTTTTATTAGTGCTTTATGAATGAACTGGACTAGACTGGACTAACACATGACAGACTCATAAGAAAAAGAGATCCATTCAGATACAAGCAAACGTCTACATGTGCTCATTGTGAAACTGAGGCTGTAGTTTTGGCCTCTAATTCATTATAACAAGTGGTGACAATCTAGGTTTACTGCCTATAATATCTACAGGAAATATATCAAAGAGTAAAGTTGTGTCTGCAGGCAGCTCTAATTCCAAATATAAGTAATTTTTTTGGAAATTGTTGGATTGTTATATTTGAGTTTGGAGTTAAATCTGGTCCTGGTTCATCTCAGAATGTTTGACTAAACTAAAGGATATATTATGACACTTTTGTGCAATTACTGTATGTAAAAGCTGAGCTGGTCGTCACAGTAGTATGCAGAAGTCAGTAATTGTCTGCTTGATCCCTATTTTGCCTATGGAGGAAACCATGTGGACGCTGGTTGTGTCACTTGAACTGACAATAAAACATGTCTTCTACTGACAAACGACCCCTGACCTTCGCATTTTTGTCATTTTCTTCAGTTTTCGGGCAGATAAGTGTGCAAGCATTCCTGTTGTGTCTCACTGTCTGTTTACAACAGGATCCAGATTTACATGTTCAGGAGTTTGATCAAATGGCAGACAAAAGCTAACAATTATTATTAAATGCATGTAGAGGCTGACGGTGCTCGGTTGGTGCAGTTTGCAACGGTCAAACCCAGAGACTCTTGAGGCAGGTGTAGAAACAGCTTCCATTGATGAATGCTGCGGCTATGTCCTTGAACATACAATAATAATAAGCACCTCTCCCTCAGTATCTATTTGTGAATGATGTATGGTTCCTATTCTTTAAAAGTATTTAAGTCCTGTAGAATAATTCATCATTTCCAAAGGAGACTTACTGGAAATATTGATATTGGCTGTGGCTGCTTCCAGCTCTGTTTTAGTATGGATCCCCCAGCTGTTAAAGGGTGTCTCTCCACTAGGGGGACTTTCAGGTCTCAGAGGACTGTCCATTTGGTCAGAATGTGGATCCTCGCTGATGCCACTGTCACTGTGGGAGGGTGACCAGAGCGGAGAGCTTGGTGCAGAGTCAGACCCACTGAGAAGAGCAGTGAGGAAGTCTCCATCCCCCTGGCCAGGAGACTCCAGCATCTGCATATAAAGAGAGTTTCTTTTTCTGTGGCTTTTTGTGTAGATTAGAGTCTAGGCTAGGCAAGGCAAGGCAATTTATTTGTAGAGTACAATTCATACAAAAGGCAACTCAACAGGCTGAACCATATAAGATAAAGACAGTCACACAAGGCATTACAATCATGAACAATCACAGTGCGTACAAAAGAGTAAAGATAAAAGCTGTTAACCTGGATTTGAACATTGTCAGGGAAGAAGTCTGTCTCACATTTTCAGGAAGACTTATTGTGGGCATCAGCAGGAGGCGAGGTCTAGGTGAGTATTGATTAGAATATTGGTACACATGCCTTGCTTCTAAATACTTTTGGACACTGATAATTATTGATGGTTTTGTTTTCAAAAGGCAAGGGTCCTCAGTCTGTCCTGCAGTGTTATCATACATTCTGGACCATAGCAAACTGCATCATCTGAGGGATTACAAGTTCCAGTCTTGTTATTGGTTAAAAGGCTGATCAGCTGAGAATGTGTATAATGTGCATTTCCCCTGAGTCAGCTCTATTCTCAGTCGAAATGGAAAAATGCATACAAATCCCTCTGAACTCAAGCAAAACACTTGATTTAATTTCTTGTGATTACCACTTATAGCGTGTGACTTCAGATTAGATTTTTGTTTAAGTCTTTTTTGAGATGTAATGATAAAAATTATAATTCTGGAGCTAATAAGAAACCTTTTCATTATTTGACCATATCCCGTCTTTTTAAGAGTTTGTGGATGCTTTAAACGGCCACTTATCGTTCATGAAAGATGGTTGATTGGGCTGTCGTTTGCACAATTGGCCTTATACTCAAGTCTTTCATTTTTGTTTCATTTTTTCCACTAAATACTAGGACAATACGGCAAAGAAATGATGTCATGTTTGAGGCTTGAGTGCTCAGAAAATGAAATGTCCACGAAATGACTTGAAACTTTCCCCAGTGCGATTGCAAAGGGCGAGTTGGATAGAATAAGCAATTTTGAACAGAAAACCAATTGAGCATGTTTTCATAAGAGGTGAAACTCAAAAAATCTCAACATCTGCTTACAATGTGAAACTAAAAAAATATACAGAGGCCAGATGTATTTTATCATGTATATATTTACAAATATTCACATGATAAAATACATTATTCTCATCCAGATTAGCGACATAGACTCGCAAAACAAAGGTATCATTTTGTTACTCACACTAGTGTCTGACATTGGCCAGCTGTTGTGGTTTCCATTGTGACCCGTTTCCACATGACGAAAAGTTCCATCATTTTCCATCATTTCAAAGAGCCAGTCAAGTAGCTCAACACCGTCACCCTGAAAGAAGACATACACAGCACTGTCAACAATACACAGTCTTTGAGAATGAGATTACGCCTATAGTTAGAGTTATGCTGATTGTTTATTTGTACATTTACTTTAGCCTTGCTCATGAACGCCTTAAGAATTATGAAACAATGTATATTTTTTACAACAGAACATTTCCCTGACCGATTTGTTCCCCTGTTCCATGTGCTAATGCCATACACATAAAATGTATTTACCTCGTGTGGCGTGGGGTCCATTGTTTACGTTGGCGCGACAATCGAAAAACAGCAGCAGCTATATAGTCAAAATATCCAATTCTATTTGTTTGAGACGAGTGTACGTCTGAGTCTTCCAGTTCTTTTCCACAGAGTCCAAAGGTTAAACTCCAACGCAGCAAAGCAATCCCAAGAGACACGTCTGATTTGCCAATCCTTTGTGCAAATAGAGCACAATCTATGACTCAATGACAGAAAGTTCAAAGTCTGCACAGTCTTTTCTTTTGTTTCTTTCATTATGGAGTAAACTTTGCCCTGATTTTTCTCACTGGGCTGGGCTACTGGGCTTTCATGGAATAGGCTTGGAACAATTCAGGCTTGGTTGGATTTAGGGTTTGGTAAAGGTACTTTGATTAGACCATTATACGGCAGAGTAATTCATTACGGTTGATTTATTATGATCACTTCTTGTGACTGGGCTGGGAATTGAGGAAAACAGTATTCAAGAACATATCCAGGAAATAGACCAACACATTGCTTTGTTGTTTAATATATTAATATATTGGGACCAAATAAAAAATAATAATACAAAAACAAAGCGATCGGCTAAAATTTTAGGACAATGTGCGGCAGGTAATGCAGGTTGTGGTCTTGGGCTAATTTGCCATGCGCTGATTCACCCTGAACTGTTGTACATGTTTTCAGTGGAAGGGGACACAGGGTAATAACAAACTCCACACAGAAAGACCCCGTCTGGAGGTGAACTAAACTCAGAACCTTATGCTTCAGGATTTTATGTTATTATAGATACTTGTTTGTTATTCCTTGGTTATTGATAGTCTGGATAAATCTTTGTACCTCTGGTTTTCCCAATAGACTGTATTTGTACATGGAAAAATAATTACTAAAGGCAGTTGCGATCACCCTGGATCACAAGCAATCACATCGTTCGCTTTTACAAAATCTATTTTGTAGACCACCATCGACTCCCACTGACTGCTGTTGTTGTGTCCTTGGCAAGACACTTAACCTCTGGGAACAGCTGATGCCACAGTGGGGCGGCTGCGGCTGTAAAGTGCCAAACTGCCGTTGTGTCCTCAGGCAAGACACTTCACCCCCATTGCCTAGAATGAGTCTGGTGTGTGTGTGAATGGTTGGTGGTGGTGGGAGGGGCAGATGGCACAGACTGGTTGCCTCGCTTCTGTCAGTGTGCCCCAGGGCAGCTGTGGCTACAGTAGTAGTTTATCACCACCGTGTTTGGAGTGAAAGAATAATGACACATGTGAAGCGTCTTTGAGTGTCCAGAAAAGCGCTATATAAAACCGATGCGTTATTATTTGTTTATTAAGGAGATTATTAGTGAGAGTATTTATTTTGTTCCAGAATTTACCTCCATGCTTTGATGAACTGTAAGTTTTATATGCAACAGCTAGAAGATTTTGTTGAAGCTGAAGAATACTCAGTGTTACGACTGGTCGATATGGCAAAAAAGTAAAATCTCAATTTTATTTCCTGCTTTGGACAATTTCGATTTAAATCGATTTTCATTAAAGTAACCGAATACAGACTCTGTCCAAAATTATATTTTTTGATCTTTCTGCTCAATATTCAGAACTATTTCTAATTTGTTTCCCCCAATACGTATTATAAAAGTCTTGTAAAGACTATTGCATATACATATTGCAAGTATGATTCATTTGCTGCTGGAACTTTCACAATATCCTTCATTCATCCACATGTCCATCCATCCATCCATTTTCTACCCTTTAATCCATTTCTGGGTCAGGGGGGTGGCAATCAGAGATGCCACCCAAGTCTCATAGCACCAGCCCCTCACTGACCCTCTGCAGGTGGTGAGTCCACAGGACTGAAGGCCAGTGCTCTACCAACTGAGCTACTGTCGCCCCCATCCTTCATTCATTCAATTTAACAATTTTCACATTTTTCACAAATTTGATTTTTTTAAAAGCCGATTACTTGCCTAAATTCAATTTATTGCGCAGCCCTACTCAGTGTATGAAGTATATAAGTCTTTCCATTTGAAACAGTCCAGACGTAACTGGTTGATTTTACTGCAAGATGTTTGTTTATTTTACTGCAAGATGTTTGTTTATTTTACTGCAAGATGTTTGTTTATTTTACTGCAAGAGTTTGACAAATGATGCTGATCATTGTGTCTACAGCAGAGAATCTGAGAATGAGAAGATCAAAGCAGCGTGTAGCAACAGCTCACTCATTGAGGTTTAAGATGAACGATATGATTCCACTTAAACAATACCTCATTTGGTTGAATAACATCAAAATAATCCCACCATGGATCTCACCAACATTAGTATTAGTAGTAGACTAGTACAAAGGGGATAGAATGTATATCAAGATGGCTGAAATCTTGACAATACGTGCAAACAGAGGGCACTTTTACAAGAACATTGATAAGAAGTCTCCTCACAACATAACAATACTAAGAAATATCTATGCATAATTTATAATAGGTTTTCTAACATTAACAGTATTCTGTATTTTACATAGGAGTTGTTTTGAGCCATGTAATGGGACGACATAATCTTCTGGTTGCTATGGCAGCTCATCAGTCCCCTGCCTGTGGCTCAGCATCAGTATGTGCTGAGGAGGCCAGAGACAGGCTGTGTTTGATGGCTCTCTCCAGATGATGGTTTTTTCGCCCTTTGTTGGTATTTTTCCTTTTTTTTTTTTTTGAAGCTGATCTTCATCATGATGAAAGGTACTGATCGTGTCCAGTTTGCATTCAGCGGTTGAAAACTTTTTTTTCAATATATTTCTAAATAGGCTAATGCCTTAATGGCAAAAATGGCACTGGTCTGTTGGACTTGGTTGGAAAAAAATAAACAATATTTTATGCTGAAGTTTAAGTATTCAATCATTATTAAAGGATATACCAAAACATGTTTTTCTCATCTGTCTCTCATAGCGGAGGTATACCTATGATGATACAAGCATATATTAAGGCATGGTACTTCCATGCATTGTAAAAGAATAAAATAACTCCAGAAACAGTTTATTGTGTGAGGACACTTTCACGGCATGATCCTCCAAATTATAGAGCGCTCATAGCATAATTGTTTTGTTGACACAAATGCAGCAATACTTACAGCCTTTCAACCATGTCTTATACTTGCATGATGTCACTGACACTGTAATGGCTAGTCCAAAGTTATATTGTAATAATTTACAGACATTTATGTAATCTCAGCTCTTGTTTTGGAAAGATTGTTTACAAGGGAAATCAATTCTCAAAGCAATTTGATGCTTGAGATAATCATCTGTGTCTCAGGTTGTCGCCATGTAATTGGCTTCCAATGGAGGCATTATGTAGCGTGTGCTGGGGTATCATCAGATAGCGACAGGTTACAAAGTGCAGTGTCTATAATAGACTCCAAAACACATTGTTAGAAAGTTAAGAAAACTTCAGTGCACTGTGTGCTAGACCATTCTGAATCTGCTGCCCTGTTACATAGATAGAACAAAAATATTGTTATGATTATGAATAGTATTCATACTGTTACATAACATAATCAGAAGATCAGAACTTTGCACGCAAGCGCACTTACATCTGAACACTTAAGAAAAACTTGTGTTTTTAAAGGATCATTCTGTACAGCCTTAAACAATATTTTCACACAGCTGCAAGCCAGTTTGGATTTAAACGAGAGCATGGTACTGACTTTCGTATTTTTGGACTTAAGGAAATACATCCAAAGCATTTGATAGTGTAACAGGGGAGGTATTTTTGTGGTGGAAGTGGAATTTCTAAAGCCTAGTTTATACTAGCGCGGAGCTTACGTAGGTGACGTGACGTCACTTGTGCAACCGCAAGGCCCTTACGTTGCGTGCCGCGCAGCACCAAAATTTTCTAACTACGTAAGGGTCGCCGCAAGGAAGCTCTGCTGTGATTGGTCCGTGTGTGCGTATTGGAAGGAAGCACGATGCGGCTGCAGGGAAAAGTGCTGGGAGGTCACGGCAAGAGGCGCGCGCGAAGGAAGGAAACGGGAAAGGCAAGGCGAGGCACAAGAGCCACAGAGCAGCGGGACGAGCCACAGAACAGAGCAGCGGGACGAGCCACAGTGCAGCGGGACGAGCCACAGAGCAGCGGGACGAGCCACAGAACAGCGGGACGAGCCACAGAACAGCGGGACGAGCCACAGAGCAACGGGACGAGCCACAGAGCAGCGGGACGAGCCACAGCGCAGCGGGACGAGCCACAGCGCAGCGGGACGAGCCACAGCGCAGCGGGACGAGCCACAGAGCAGCGGGACGAGCCACAGCGCAGCGGGACGAGCCACAGAGCAGCGGGACGAGCCACAGCGGGACCAGTTGGCCAGCCACTCAAGGCCTGAAAAACTTCACCTGAGCGGCCGTTTAGACAGCCGCTCAGGCCCGGTGAGTGGCACCAGAAGGGGCGGGGGTTCCTGGGGCCAACAATCCCCCCACTGGCGGTCCTGTTCTTGTCCCCTCAGGAGCGGCGAGAGGTGCTGCGGTCTCGAGGCCCAGGGTGTAGCGCTTTGAGGACACGGGAGCACCAGGACCGTCCACTGCAGCTGCTTTTAATCTTTTTTGCACTGACTGGTTTTATGGCACTCGCCTGCTTATTTTAAATTTTTTTTTATTGTAATACATCTTTTAATCGTACCACCTGGTTTATTTTGCACTGCTCCCTCCAGTGATTTTATACCTGTGTTTTAAAGTAGGTCCTAGGTCCTTAACCTAGGTAGCCTGGTTTTACCATACCCTCGTACTTGTTTCGTACAGAGGGTCTGGACTTTCTCAATTGAGCTCCGTTTACAAGTGGGAGGGGTGAACTTTGTTTAAAGTTTGAAACGATTGGATCTGATTTTATCCAATCACTAGCGTTTGGTTGTGACGTATGTTATGCGCCCGAGTGAGTGACGCAAGCTATCATAACTATTGGGGGCAGCCTTGTGCATTCCTGCATACAGCATGCCGGAAATTTCAAGAAGAAGAAGAAGAAGTGACGCTTACAGGAAGTTGTATCCGAGAGAGAAATGCGGGTTTGGAGACGAAGATGGCTGTGAACGATAGCTGCAGGCTTTGCGAGACAAATTTAAGAGTTGGTGGAGTTATTGGAAACAGCAAATTAGTATTCGAAAAGAAGGAAGACAATATAGCATCGCAGTTGCTAAAGCTCGGTTTGATAATTGACAAGACACCGCTTCGTTCTTACCTAGCCTGGTTTTACCATACCCTCGTACTTGTTTCGTACAGATCTCAGGCTTGCTTGAACTATGTCACATGTATATAGATGTTGTACATACACATTAGTTAAATAAAAAATCTACAGTACACTACAGTATATTTTGTATGTCTTTCCTAGTTAACCTTTCTACCGAAGCCATAGACATGTATCTTGTTATATACTTGAATTAAGATCCTACAAACATGTTTTGAAGAAAATAATCAGGTTTATTAAGGACAGTTTTGGGTTGTAGAAATGTACAAATGAGAAACCTTTCCAAAAATATGCACAATGAGTAACCAATGATGTGAACACACAGAAGTAAATGAAATTCTCAACACTCATTGAAATTACTGCTCTGACTCTGAGCTACTAACATGGCTCCTGAGTTCATCATCATCATCATCAGCAGTGTAACCCCCCCTGAATCGGACGGCTGTTCTGCATGCTGATCTGCATCCACATCTCCAAACACATCACTTATGATATTTAAAATCTCCTTGGCATGCTCCAATCTGAAGACAGGAATGCTGGCAATGATGTATGACAGGTCAAATATAAACTGAGAATGGTTCAATACACAGTCCACCAGTTGTTGACTCAATCCAGTGCACAATTCAGGTGAGGTGAAGAGCCGAGTAGATGTAGTGATTAGGCTGGCTCTGTATCCATTCAGCAAATATGCAATCAAAGACTTGTCCTCTGCAGTCACGTGCCTAGATCTCAAGTTAACTGGCTTGCCCTTAATCTGTTTATAATCTGGGGTGGGTTCTTTGCATGTGCCAGATGAACAAGAACAAACAGTATGACAGTAAGTGCAACATAGATGGCCTGGTCCTACAAGGCTGGGTTCAGCCTCAAAATGTGAGAAAATAATTTTCCTGAAACATGTATTGCGAAGAGCAAGCACTTCTTTTACCTCTTCTTCAGTCTTATAATTCTTTACAGTGTTGTATATGATGCCATGAGCTGGCTGACCATTTCTTCCAGCCCTCCCCACCTGTTGTATTATGGACTCTAGGTCCCCTGGAACACCATACATCACCACATGTGAAACATTAGGGAAATTCAGGCCCATTCCCAAAGCTGTTGTTGCAACTACTACACAGCAATTCCCTTGCCCCCTCAGTGAAGCCAACACTCTGTCCTTGTTTTGGGGGAGGAACTTGCTGTGAAACATACCTATCAGGAGGTTCTCACGTTTATGCTCTTGATCACAGTCTACCCAGGCGTACTGTTGCAGTTCGCCCTTGAAGTAAGAAAAGACCCTCCCCACTGTTGTCATTTTTTGACAGTAAATAAGTACAGGCTGCATGGTTGAGCCCTTGTCCTTTACATGTTGCACAATCCAGTCTAAGCAGTTCAGTTCATTGCTGGGCACCTTGCGCAATCCAAGACGCATGTTGGTCTTGTTAGGGCTAGCGATGATGTGAACGGGACTGTCCATATGAAGTAGTCTAGTGACTCGGTTTCTGGATTTGATGTCAGCAGAGGCAGTCAACGCCAAGAAAGGTGTACCTGTCAGACAAATTTACAAAATTAAAATATATCACCCACATTTACATTAACAGTATTACTAATATGACATGTATTGATGACAGTGTGTATTTGTGTGTGGTTCTTCTGCCTGTGTCTTGCTCTATAACACTAGCTGCAGTGCATGTACTGTGGTGTCTGACTTAAGATAACACTTTATTGTTCTCACAATGGAGAAATGTACTTGTTACAACAACTCTTAAAAAAAGAAATCATAATTGTAAAATAAATGTCCCTTAGAATCTACCTATAAAAAAATGTATAAACTGAAAACTACACTTGCACAGTGTCGTTGCCGGGGGCTGAGAGTTGGCAACATAGTGGTTATTCTTACCAGTTTGATCTTTTTCTGGAACTATAAGATTGCAGCATTTTTCATGTCTCTTACTGCATGTTTTTTAACTTCCTTTTACTGAATGCACAGTACGTTTAGTACTGTACAGTCGAGTGTGTACTAACGTTACTCTTAACAACAATGCACTGAATCCAGGGCACGGATTTGTTAACATGTCAAGCAGGAACAACACAGAAGACATTCAACCCACCTTCCTTCATGATGGATCTCAGCTCACCAAGTTTAGAAAAACTCTCTCGGAATGGTGACTCGCCTTTGGACGCTTCACCCCTGAGACAAAAGAAACGGAATGCAAAATTGTCATCAAGCAATAGGGTTGGGCATCGTTTGCAATTTTCCGATTCCGATTCTCACTATCGATTCCTGTTCTAAACGATTCTCAATTCCGATTCTTTGAGGTGCAGGAGAAAAAAAAAAAGATAATTTTTTATCAAATTTTATTTCATACGTACTTTTCCTGCCATAAGGCAACAGAAAGTGCTTTACATAAAAACAAATTAAATTAAAAAACAAGGAACACGAACACACACACACACACACACTGTAACTGTAGGGAGAGTCCCTAACGGTAACTGTAAAACTGAAATAACACAAGTTGGCAGCAGTCTAAAAGCAAATAGCTGCAGCTCAGATGGAACAAAAAAAGAAAAGAAACTCAAACCCTGGTGCAGTTTTGACAAATCAGAAACAGTTTTTGTTAAGGAAGATTATCATGTCTGCCTTCTCGGGCAGTAAGCGCGACCGTTCCGCACAGATTGTGCTTCCTGCAGTTGAAAAGACCCGTTCACTAGGTGTTGAGGAGGCCTGCACACATAAATATGAGAAGGCCAGACATGACAGTAAAGGATAAGTTTGTTTCTGGGTCCAGAACCAGGCTGCAGGGTCAGATGATGTGATGATTGATGGGATTTCCAGGTACGTCTGGATCTCCCTTTCAGCACGACTTTCCATAGACATCACCCCCTCCTGTGAGGTCCTCTTCATGGCATCCTCTTCAGCAAAAAGCTCCTCCAGTGGAGACTTTTTGGATTGTTTGGAAGGAGGAGGCTGCTTAACAAACACAGGACATAATAGTTATCAATAAAAAAAAACATTAGAAATATACCAGATATAATTTCAGTAATCTACTTACATTCTCCTCTTCCTCTTCACTGTCAGTCTTCAGACCTTCCTGGTTTCCCTCGCCCTGCGTCACTAACCTCGTACTAACCTCTTCTGCATGGTCATGGACTGCCGCTGGCGCTGACTACAGAGAACATAATGGAGAGAGACAGGTAGACATAGAAAGATGGATAGAATATAAGAGTTGTCACAGTCTATAATACACATGTGTCAAAGTCAAGGCCCGCGGGCCAAATCCGGCCCGCGAATGAATTTTACATGGCCCGTTGCCATTGACGCACTATTACGTCAATTGCGTTTTCCGCTATTTTCATGTTCCCAGATGTCTATTATATCTAATATGTTTGGGGATAAGCTTGAGAGAATATTGAATCGAGCCAGCAGGTGGCAGCAGCACTCTCTGAATGGTTTGAAAACAGCTAGATGCACTTGTTGTGCCTCTTTTTTCTCAGCTTTTTGGTGATTTCAGTAAAACTTCCCTCTACTCAACTGGGGATTACAAGCTAGAAACAAAATTATTTTTGCTGATGAAAGTAGACAGTCTATTCTTTCAGAATCTGGTTTCGGATTTCAGATAGTCATAGTACACAATATTCTGTGGGTCTTGAAAAATCTATAAAAATCATCAGAAACTGCTGGCAATATGGGAGAACCTGTTCTGAAATAGGCTGGCAGGCAATGAGTTAATAAACATTGAACCAGTCCGGCCCTCGGCTCGCAGCAAATTTGTTTTTTTGGCCCTCTGATGTATTTGACTTTGACATGCCTGCTATAATAGAATATGTGTTAATAAAGGCACTTTATTGATTAACAGTAGAGTTGTTGTAGCAAGGTGATTAAAAAAGTATAAACAGTACAGTGTTAATGATTACTGCATGGATGATGTAAAATGCTAATTAATATAAAATGTATATATTTGTATATGAATGACACTTCACCTCCTCAGAGTTTGCCAGCAACTTCCCCTTAATCCGTTCCCAGACTGCAGCATTGTTGACCATCTTATTCTTGAAGCGGGGATCTAAGGCAGTGGCTTCTTCCAAGAAGAACCTGATGTCCTCATTCTTTAAAATAAAAACAAAACAAAACTACTATTGCATCAAGCCACAGGAACAGAAGTATCTAATCTAATTTTAGTCTTCGTTCGTTTATAGCCTCAGTCATTACCTTGGGCGGCACGGTGGCTGAGTGGATAGCACTCTCGCCTCTCAGCAAGAAGGTCCTGGGTTCGAATCCCGGTCGGACCAGGGCCTTTCTGAGTGGAGTTTGCATGTTCTCCCCGTGTCTGCGTAGGTTTCCTCCGGTTTCCCCTACCACTAAAAATATGTCCAATAGTTCTGGCATGCGCCTCCTGTACTGGCGACCCCGCTCCCATCTCTGTGTGGAGTGAGATACAAATGCCCAAAATTAACAATTGTAAACCGCTTTGAGACTCAGATCTGCAGTGAAAAGGCGGTATATAAATAATAACTTACTTACTTACTTACTTACCTTGTACCGGGCAGACAGGTTTCTCCAGACCCTTTTCTTCAAGTCCGCTACAAATGCTGTGTCTCCATTTAAAGGGGCAAAGTGTTTCTCAAGCTTTTGGATGATCGGCAGGATCTGTCCAGCTGATGGGCTTTTTTCGGTGGAAACACAGAGTGTGCAGGTGTAAAGAACTCGCATCAGCCTGATGAAGTGTTCTGCCTTGGTGAAATCCCCTTCTGTCAGCCGATCAAGCCTGTGTGCGAAAGAATACATTTTCAATACAGTTCAAAATAAAGATTTTTTTGTCTCTTTAAACAAAAGTAGTGCTATTTGACAAGTGACTTTAAATTAATTCCACTGTATAATACAGCAAAACAGTGTGCCAATTTCTTTCTTAGAACCGTATGCACATTCATACACTCTAATTTTATTCTTATACTGTGTATCCATCTCTCTCTCTACCTGTCCCTCTCCATATTCTTTCTTAGGCGTTGATCCAAGCTGGCTGCAGGGTATTGTTCAAGGAATCTCTCGATCATTAGATAGAGAGAATTCCACCTTGTTCTCACATCGAGAATCAGTGAATGTTGAGGAAGTTCTGACACGAATAAGAAAATCACAAATACATGGATAATTGACATCAATGACATGCAACTTTTATGTTTGTGTAAGCCCTCAGTCGTACAGGGATTAGTCAAAGCAAAGGAAGGTTTCTCACCCATCATCTGTACTTCTTAGCAAGTTTTCCCGACGTTTCGTCCTCAACCTGGGGACTTCTTCAGGGAATGAATTCTCGGACCGCGCGTTGGAGATTTATAACCTATGGGTGTGGTAAGCCACACCCTAATCCTGATACTAACTCGTAAACAATCTCAGGTCTGCTTGATGTAGAAGGGAGCAGGTCTAACGACCCTGCTGAGGCTAACGACCCTAACTCCTTAGCATGTCACAGACCTATTGTCTGCTGGGATGCTCAAGTGGAGTGCAGGTCTCACCCCTCCTAACTCATTAGCATGTCACTGACCTTGTCCCAAGTTAGGGCGTTGTTTTTAGGATGTCGTCATAGATGCGAGGCAAAACAAATCTTAACCCTCCTCCTCTGTTAAGAGAAGGTTTTTGTTTCCTCACAAAAATGGCTTCTTTCACTCCTCTCTCAAACCAATTCTTCTCCCGAGCCAGAATTTTAACCTCTGTGTCATCCACCGTGTGGTTGGAGGCCTTGAGGTGGAGATGAACAGCCGACTGTGGCCCACTAGAGTTTTCTCTACGATGTTGGTAAAGTCGTTTCTGTAGAGTTTGTTTGGTTTCTCCAATATAGTGGTCAGTGCACTCCTCTTCACTACATTTAATTGAATACACCACATTGCTCTGTTTGTGTCTGGGTGTTTTGTCTTTGGGATGCACTAATTACTTGCTAAGAAGTACAGATGATGGGTGAGAAACCTTCCTTTGCTATGCAACTTTTATATTGTGTAATCAGACAGATATGTAATGTTGCATTGTTTTACTAATGTTAATACCAGCCAAATGTACACTGGCTGCAGTGCACTACTAAAAGAGAGGAATTGCTTCAATTTGATCCTGGCATCCAATTAAACTCAAGACATTGATTCTTACTTAGGACATCCTGCTTTTCTCGTAGAACCACCTTTGCCATTGACGACCTCTTCATCCAGACAATGATGGCACGAATCTTTGCAGTCCACTGAGCCACCAAGCTGCTGGAGTACAGGCTTTGTGCTGCTAGGTTTAGTGTATAAGCGAAGCAGCCGAGCTTCACAAATTGTAGCCGTTTGATGGCTACGTCCATATTGGCCGCATTATCCACAGTAACTGCTACTACTTTATCAAACACACAAAATTCTTTCAGGATGTCGCCGATTTCCTCTGCCACAACAATTCCTGTCTGGGCTGTGGTACACGCTTTTGTGCAAGAACTTTCTGCCTCTTGTTGCCCTTCCACTAAATATTGCACTGTGACAGTCGGTAGTGGTCTTGGTTTAGCTAGTCAATCCATCACAATTGAGAGCTAATGTGACTAACCTCACTCAGCTCTGAGATCACATTAGATTTTTCCACATGGTACCATGCTGGGACAATCTAGTGATAAATACTCCCTGTAAGGGGGGGTGTACTTTGGTTTATTGAATGGATCAGATCCCTGCAAATGCAAAAACAACTCTCTGTAGTAAAAAAACAACTTTAAAAAAAGAGCTTAAAAACAATGTGCAATTTACACACACTTCTGCACATATTTTGTTAAACTAGGCACTGTGCAAAAACAAATCTGTCAATTAAGTAAACCTGAACTTTTTACGGTAACTTAAGGTCAGGGGTATATAAAGTAGCTACCGTGCTAATTTATTTAGCTAATATTAAACTTATTACTTTTTTTTTAAAAAACGTTACCTAAATGTGGCGACTCGACATCGCTAAGCGATGCTAACCTTGCTGCCAAGGTGAATGGGTTTCTCTTTTACTGGCCGGGTCTCTGGCCGGTTAACGCAGCAGCCGCAGCAGACTGGCTGATGCTAGCACATCACTCTGCGAGCGTTCAATCTGAATCAGCTATGAACAGATTGACACAATTTTAGCAACCGTAGTATATAAAACTTTAGACTTGTCTGTGAAGAATAAACAAAAATCATTTTCAGTATACCCTGATTCCGTTTCCAACGCAGAGTTGCTGCTGAATTGTTTGAACTTCACTTACCGAATTGGAGGAAGCGACGGGAGCAGGAGAGCGACGCGACAAATCAAACACAGTACACTCGTTAACACACTCTATACCATGTAGTTTTGCCGAAGGTGTTTTTTACATGATTAGTTGTATCACCTCCTTTAGCACTAATATATTTTCCCCAGTGGTGCACCTGTGCCAAATCCATCTTTCTTTAAACTAAAATAAACCATAATTTTGATCGGCGTCTTCGGTCCATGTTCAATCAGGTTAGGCAAGTGAAGTTTCGCGGGGTGGAGTATTTTTTTTTTTTTCGGCGGGCGAAGTAATTATTTATTTTTTCCGCCGGAAGTCCCCTCCACTTCACAAACGTGAATTTTTCATTGATTTACAGTTTACTAGTTAGACTGGACCTTTCAATAGGCTCCCCGAGCACCGCCCACCATCATCTTCAGAGCGAGCTGAAATGTAAACAATAAACACGTCCTCTGAAAACCGATGAAAAACGTAAACCGCTGAAAAACGGCTAAAGTGAGAATACTGGAGGATTATCGTTGGACGGACTGACAGATTTGACCAAAGCACAAGGACTCGTGCATCGTGTTTTCGGAGTTTTTTACGGATTATTACATGGAGGAGGAGCAGGACTTTTTGCGGTCCTCGGCAGGTGGACAGCGTGTTTCCCTTCTTCATCATTACAAAGGGCCTCACCAGTAACTTTAAGGTAAGGAACATCAGTTTTGGATGTGTTTGTAAAGCGAGTGATGAAACTGATGTAGCGTGAGTTTGGGGAAACTGCACCGGGCTAGCACGAGTGTTCAACCGGTCAATACGCCCGTTAAACCTCGCTGTCTGGACTCTAACTTAACCAAATAATATCTGAATTAGTCATTTGACGGATAAATGTTTGCTTCCTTTACCCCTTGACTCAGTTTTATCTGCGTTTGTGGAAAATGTGAAGATACAAGCGTTGAGAGGTTTCTTTGCGATGGCAGGAGTGTGTGGCTGAAGCTAAATGTGGATGCAAACACAAGCGCGCCGTCTCATAAGAGCTTAATTCACTGAGTTTTTCACAAAGCGTAATAAAGCCCTGGCTTTATTACGCTGGGTGGACAGCTGCTAAGCATTTTTGAAACGTGTCCCCCCCCCACCTTCCAATCGCTTCCGACGCCGCTGTGCGGGCCGCATCCGGCATTTAGGAATCGAAAAAAGAATCAAAATACAAACGTATTCTTAACGGTTCCGGAACCGCACTTTAGGAACCGGTTCCAAATAGGAACCGGTTCTCGGTGCCCAACCCTATCAAGCAACAATAGTCTACCCGATTAAGTATGCAAAAAAGCCTAATTTCTGCTGTTTTAAAGTTCACTTACCATTTATATGTAACATGGACTTCATCAACGACGATGCCAATGATGTTGTCTTGGTAAACAGACGAGGTTAGCATTCGTCGCCATTTGGAGTTGAGTAGCCAAGACTCAGGGCTCCCAAATACCAGGCTGAAATGTCCTTCCAAAATGTCACGATCGTCGTGCACATCGAGCTGTCCAGCACTAACTCCCAACTTCTCAGCCTCCTTGACTTGATCCTCCATTAAAGCCAAAAGAGGGGAAACGACTACAACGATAGGATTAGCTTCACTAGCATTCAGCCTAGCCATCTCCTTCACCACTAACGGAGCTAACTGGAAAATAAGGCTTTTGCCGAATCCCGTGGGGAGTAAAGCCATGACATCTTTACCAGCAATGAAATTTGCTAAACATTTCTCTTGCTCCGACTTCAATTTCTGGATATTTGGGAGTAAAGCCAGAATGGATTGAAGAGCTTTGTTTATTTTCGCATATGCCGCCATTGCCAAACTACAGTGACTACAACCGGCGCAAATGCTTGACGTCACCTACAACACCCGCCTCCCCCGCTCGCTGAATGGTAGGATGAAATTCTACCGATTGAATAGCAGCCATTGGGAGCAAACCCAGACGTACATCCTGGGAAAAAAGATTTGACCGGAGTTTACGGATGGCAAAGGCCAGGCTATAACCTAGGTGGCGTTGCTGACCTTTTTAACTTGGTGAATTGTAATTTGGTTTTATGCTAAATTAAGTAATTTATTCCTTCCCTCGGTCACACTGTGGACTAGAGTTCTGTTGCATATCTAATATATATATAACTTATAAACTGTGCAGTCGTTACTTGTGCACTGTGTGAATCTGCACTCGTAGCTTATCGCGTCTGTTCCATTACTCCTGCACTTATAAATTGTTCATGTTTGCCTCAGATATTTACCACTTATTGTTTTGCTGTTTGCGCTGAATACAATGTAATAACTGTTTCCAACAAGAACTGTGTCTTTATTCACAACATCACAGTTAAATGAGTTAAGAAATAATGAGTCCATAGAACTATCACATAAACCTACAGTAGAAACACATGTAATGAGCTCAAACAGCTTGATTTTTGTTCTGAAGAGGAGAAAGTAGCCGCGTAAATGAGACCGCTTTTGTATCTCAAGCAACTCCTGTGAGATCGCCATCATGTGGTTGGTTGTGGGATTACAACATTCTCCTCAAAACTCCTCAAGGAGTATAAATTAAATTGTGCTTGCGTAGGTCCACCGCAACCGCTAACGTAAGCAGCGCCGCGCAAGTATACACTAGGCTTAAGGGTTAAATCAGGTGTGAGCACACTTGAGGGGTGAGGGGTTTCCAAGGAGGACACACGCAGACCGATTCAACAATAAAAAAAATGTATATAAAAAACGTAAAATAAAAAAGTTAAAGAAATGCCCAAAAAAAACCAGTTGATCTAAGTTAAAAATTTAGGTGGACTAAACAGATAAAACATGTAAAATTACTAAAAGTCCACAGTACACGGGTAGTCCCCTTTAACTTGGTAGTCAGTTCTCACGCACTGGGTCCCATGGAACACAGAATATACAAGCCAGCCCAGGGAGAACAAAACACCAAGGCCTTAAGCCTAGTGTATAGCCGCGCGGCACGGAGCTTACGGTGGTGATGTGACGTCACTTGTGTAACACAAGGATCACGCAAGACCCTTGCAAAGCCTCCCGCGCACACTCCAAAAAGTTTAACTACGCAGCCGGTTCCGCAGAGAAGCTCCGCTGTGATTGGTCCGTGAGTGTGTGTTTTGGACGGAAGCATGGAACGGCTGCAGGGAACATGGACGAGGCACTTCGGAGCAGACTGCTTCGTGCTTCAAAGGAACTGAAGGAAAAGCAGTTTGGGCTCAGAGCCTGATATACGCGGAGACTGTGGACTGTTCAGTTCTGTTGCATATCTAACATATATATAACTTATAAACCGTACAGACGTTTCTTTTGCACTGTTACTGTCTTTGTTTGAATCTGCACTCGTAGCTTATCACGTCTTTTGCATTCCTCCTGTACTTGTAAATCGTTCATGTTTGGTCTCAGATATTTACCACCTATTGTTTTGCTGCTTTTGCTGAATAAAAAATATGAATAACTGTTTTCAACAAGAACTGTCTTTAATCACAGCATCACAGTTGAAATGACTTGAGTGAGTCCATAGAATTATCACATAAACCTACAATAGAAACACATGTAATGAGCTCAAACAGCTTGATTTTTGTTCTGAAGAGGAGAAAGTAGCCGCGTAAATGGGACCGCTTTGGTTTCTCAGGCAACTCCTGTGAGATCGCCATCATGTGGTTGCGTGTGGGATTACAACATTCTCTTCAAAACTCTGCAAGGGGAACGCGCAAGTGTACCAGCAACTGTCGCTGCGTAGGTCCAGCGCAACCGCAAACGTAACCAGCGTCGCGCGAGTATACATGGGTGTTACAGAGTGTTGCTACAATACTCACAGGGCACGGCAGAGTGTATTCACTCACTCTTTCACTGATCTCTCCTGGCTAGCTCAGACTCTTCCGGGCACCCAGAGCTTAGCAAAGTTAGCTTATTTTCTATGTCCGATAAGTGCCACTGCGTCCCAAAG